ATGGCTTTGTGTCATGTAGAAGCTGTGATGAAAATTGGCAGATAAAGTAGTTGGAGATGGGTACTTTTCAATGACCAGCATAAAATCTTTGCCTTTTGCATCATAAAATTTTCATTGCCTTTGTGCACCTTTATCTTTAACCGGATAGATTTAAAATAAAATGTCTATTATTATAATTATTATAATTATTGTTATTATTATTATAAAATAGACATGACATTTTAATGGACAAATTGTATTTTTGAAAAGAATGTTGTATACAGTAAAGTTTGTATTTTTTAAATTTTGCATTAAAGGATTAAGTGAACTAGATATCTGTAACGAGGAGTCAGTGGAGTTGGGATCCATGTGCAGCTTTATTAATACACAATCTGAGTCAGACAGGCAATGTTCAATCATCAGCGTTAGAGACAACGTACGCAAGGCAAATGTGACCCTGGTCATAAGGGTCAATTTTCCAAAATTGTTATTTACACATCATCTGAAGGCTGAATAAATATGCTTTCCATTGATGTATGGTTTGTTAGGATAGGACAATATTTGGCCGAGATACAACTATTTGAAAATCTGGAATCTGAGGGTACAAAAAAAAATCTAAATATTGAGAAAAATCGCATTTAAAGTTGTCCAAATGAAGTTCTTAGCAATGCATATTACTAATCAAAAATTAAGTTTTAATATATTTACAGTAGGAAATTTACAAAATATCTTCATGGAACATGATCTTTACTTATTATCCTAAATATTTTTGGCATAAAAGAAAAATCAATAATTTTGACCCATACAATGTATTTTTTTGGCTATTGCTACAAATATACCCCAGCGACTTAAGACTGGTTTTGTGGTCCAGGGTCACAAATCATTAACAGAGTCCAGGAAAATGGTCAGGGCAGGCAGCAGACAGAGCACAGGGTAAATCCACAAGGTAGGCAGGGTCAAAAAGGCAGGCAGCAAATGATTAGCAAAGAAACAACAGTCCAGGTAGGCAAGAGAGAATCAAACATGGAAATAACGCTCTAATATGCGCTAAAATAACGCTCTAATAATGCTAAAATAACAATATACTGTGCTATCAAAAGTTACAAGGCAGATTTGCAGAAGCTCTGCAAGAAAAATTGAAAAATGCTATAATTCCGTAATATAATATCCCCTGCATGCTTTACACAACACAGAGCTGAAAGAAACCATGTAAAAGCCAAGGACAGTAAACTATTTATTATATATTAAAAAGAGAAAACAGTTCAAATATAAAGCTTGTGTAAAGCATGTTTATTATGATATTTGTGCTAATTGAAAGGTAGGTAGTGCTTTTTACATGAACATATGATGTATCATCAATTTCGATGATTATTATTTTGTTGTACAGCTAACCATAAGATGCCTTCTGAGAGATATAGCCTAATATATTCATCTAACAAGTCAGATTGCCAGTGAAATGCTCTCCGACAGCAAATGCAATGAGTTTGCGTCCTTCTTTTCTGAGAAGATCAATAATATCAGGAAGGCGATTAGCACATCCCCAAGTTATGCAGAGGTCAGACAGATTCGACCGCAATATCACAAAGAAGATACTATGTTCCGAACTGATTGCACTATATTTTATGTGTAATCATTTTCTATTCTTAACTGTTTTAAATTGTTTAAACCTCTTAAATCAATTTTTAAATCATTTTCAAAGTTTTTTAAATTCCTTGTTTTATTGTTGTGATTCTTTTTTTTTATTATGTAAAGCACTTTGAATTACCATTGCGTATGAAATGTGCTATATAAATAAACTTGCCTTGCCTTAACATCACACGCTGCCTAAAGAAATCATGTCTGCTGATTTTAATCACACTCTGACTCAATTTAATAATATTGGCTATGGGAGTTGGAAAAGAATGATTTTAATACGTCATAATTTTAATTATCAGGGTGTAAACTCATGTCAGTGGCTGCCATGGTCTTTCTTCAAGCTTCACTCCCACATCTCTTTTACAGCTTTTCTCATACAGGAAAATATAGACCAAAAATATGTATGACTTAAGCACTACACAATTTATTTTCTATTATTGCTGTATGGAATGAAGAGAATGTCCCTTCCAGTAATACCACCTACAACGACCAAATTTAAAATGCAACGTAATTCCTTCAAAATGACTTGCAATAGTATACCAAGTCAAACTCACTTTTCATGTCTGCTGTGTATGTGTTTTATGTACACGCACACACACATATATATATATATATATATATATATGTGTGTGTGTAAAATTTGGCCAGTACCTCACGTATTTGTCTTACATTGCAATTATTATTATTCCAATTTTATTATGTCATTATTCAAAATAGCAATAATAAAGTGAAAGTTTAATGACTAACTTTTGCCTAGTACTATAAATAATGTGTTAAATATAGGTTTAAAAAAAAAGTAAATAAATAGCTTATTTAATCACTTCATGCTGTATCACTTTTTATGCATTATTAAAGTTAGTATTAAAGTTATATTAATACTACGCTAAAAATAATTTGTAATGCATTTTTAAGGATAAAATTATCTCACCAAGGAGCAAACAAACATGTTTAATTTATTAATTCTATTAAAGTGTTACTAAACAGGCATATTAAAATGATGCTCTTCTCATCACTAAATGTACTAAACGTTACAATATTTTTTCAAGTGTTGTGACTGCATGCATGACCATTTAAACGTATTTTAAAATAAAATATATGCAAGAAAACAGTATTTATATAGTAGTTTATTGAACAAGCAGCACACTTACAAACAAGGTATGTAATTCCTTTGACACTGTATAAAATGACTTTAGATAAATGCAAAATACAAAAATGACTTTAGATAAATGCATCTAGTCTACAAAAAGCAAAAATAACAAATGCTCAGAATTGTTAATGACTCATTTACAAACACATTTTATGCACACCAGTAACCTTGGTCTTTGTTGCTATTGATAGAAATGAGAAAATAAACATATGAAAATAGCTCCTTGACGGCACTGGAATTGCATTAACAAAAGTTGTTTTTAAAATACAATTTTGATACCACAATCTCAAAAAGCACTTTTATTCTTATGCTGCACTGGTTAACAAAAGTTAACAACAACAACAAAAAAAAAAGTGTTAGCAAATGCACAAGTCACAAAAAGTAACCCTAATTATTAATCTAATATTTTGCATGTTGATGCTAGTGTTTCAGTTTCAGCAGCTCTTCCAAAAGCATTGAGCTTATTTGTAACAAAGATATATTTCTCTCTAAAAAAAGAGTTTCATTCATTTACCAGTTCTGATTTCTGGATTTGTTAGTCATTGTGCCATCAAAATACAATCAATAAGTGCATTTCTCCTTGCGTGAATTTGTTTCTCCATTAGCTTATTATAGACATATCTGGAAAAAGTTTCATTTTTGGGCTCCTCAATAATCAAAAGTAGCCGAGGTTAAGTAAACGATTGTTACAAAAAAAATGTCTTTAATTTGACTACTACTTGTGTAAATATTTGTGCTTGGTTCACTAGTAGTGAATTAATACAGGTCAAAAAACAGCAGCCTGTTATGGCTTTAAACAAGCATCAAGAATGAGTGTAAGGCCACACTGGGCATGTTTTAGTGTTAGCAAAGGCAGAAATGTCACAAAGTCGTCAAACTATGTCATTAGGCAGACAGTTGTGCAAGAGGCATTTCCTTAATCACACTGTTGATCAGTTGACAAAGTGACGCTAGAACCTGACCTCACTAAACCTCATAATTCTTATCAATTTGTGGGCAAACTGCCAATTCAAAAGATCCTGATAAACTTTAAAGTACTTATTTATTCATGCCTTTTCATGATGTGTGACTCAAAAGTCGCATACATGTCCAAACATTCTCCAAAAATTGGATTTCTCAATAATGGGTGAATCTCACAAAAAAACAAATTACACACATTTCCTCTCAAATTCCCATTACTGTTGTGTGTCCACTTTACTTTTGAGTACTTTTAAATGTAGGTGAGAATTACTCTTTCTTTTGATTCTCACTACTGTAATACAATAATTTTGTACTGTAAAAACAAACCCTGATATGCAGCAGGTATAATAGAATGTGTAGATACTTTCCTATAATGTAAAAAAAAATAATGTTCAAATAATTATGTAATTTTAGATTTTAAAAGAACCGTTCACCCGAAAATGTACTCACCCTCATGCCATCCAAGATGAAGATGAGTTTGTTTCATTATCAAAACAGATTTGGAGAAATTCAGCATTATATCACTTGCTCACCAATGGATCCTCTGCAGTGAATGGGTGCCGTCAGAATGAGAGTCCAAACAGCTGATAAAATCATCACAATATTCGTGTGAATTACTTGTGGATTATTGTGATGTTTTTATCAGCTGTTTGGGCTCTCAATCTGATGGCACCCATTCACTGCAGAGGATCCATTAGTAATGCCAAATTTCTCAAAATCTGTTCTGATGAAGAAACAAACTTATCTACATCTTAGATATCTACACCCTATGGAAGCCCGTTTCTGCCACTGGATAAAACATAAAAAAGGTAATTGCGACTTTTTTTCTCATAATTGCGTGATACAAACTCGCAATTGCGAGTTAAAAAGGTCATAATTGTGAGATATAAGCTCGCAAGTCTGAGAAATAAAGTCAGAATTGCATGATATAAACTCGCAATTGCGAGACAAAGTCGCAATTCTGAGAAATAAAATCAGAACTGCGAGATATAAACTCACAATTCTGACTTTTTTTCTCAGAATTGCGAGTTTATATCTCACAATTCTGATTTTATAACTCGCAATTGTGAGTTTATATTACGCAATTCTGAGATATAAACTCGCAATTGCGAGAAAAAGTCAGAATTGCGATTGAAATCAGAATTATCTCACAATTGTGACTTTATATCTCGCAATTCTGATTTTTATGACTCGCAATTGTGAGTTTATATCTCGCAATTCTGTGAAAAAAGTCAAATTGAAAAAAAAAATCTAAAGAATTGTGAGATAAAAAGTCGCAATAACCTTTTTTACATTTTTTATTCAGTGGCAGAAACATGCTTCCATAACACCCTCATCTTAGAGGGTGAGGAAATTTTTATCAAATTTACATTACAACAGAATTTCGTTTTGGGGGTGAAATGTGAGCTGGATTTGTTCTTGAGAGATTCACACAACTAGGTGTAAATGTGATTTGAAAAGATCACACACAACAGCATGACTCCGGTATTTGCGAGAAATGTTTGAAATGCTGATTCAAAAGTGATCCAAATATTTACTGCCAGTAACTGCTTTTCTAAGTGCAATGTTTCAATGACACCAAAAGTTGCTACAACAATAAAATTTCTTTTGCTTGACCTCAAACAGGCTTACTTAAGAAAAAAAAAAACTGATTCTGACAATACTGGAAGACCTCTGTGTGCAATACTCAAAGAAATAATGATTTTTGCAGAACATCCTGCGTTATCATTACCCCTGAAATGAAGAAATAAATCTTCTAATTCAATTGAGAAAAATGTGCTTCAAATAATCAAGCATTAACATGCCGCAAAAATGTCCTTTCGAATCATGTAAATACTCTGATTCTCAGCAATGGCATATAATCAGCACTGCCGTTTCTGCAAAAGCAAAATGCCAGTTTTCTGAGTTTAGGCCTGTTTTAAGCCTAAGCTCTCAAATGCTTTGACTGAAGCACCTCTGGTTATGCCAAGACAGTCTTGTGGAGTAATACTGTGTGTTAGTGGCTCAAATAAGATCTACCATCCACCGTTAAGGACTTTTTCTACCCTTTCCAAGCTGACGATGCATTCAACTGGACATATCCTTCCTCTGAGCTTGAAGCATCTCGGTCACGCTCACTATATCTTCTTCCGGCACCTGAGACAAAAAAAGATGACAAAAACACAAGGATGATTACGTCCCATCCAAATATGCACTATTTTTCAGAGATGTCACATGCTGTCAGCTGAACAACACACACTGGTATGAAGAGTTTTGTAGGATGGGCATAAACAGAGATGCATCATCTCATACTCACATGGATCAGCTCAGACCGATAACGGTTCATGGATTCACGCAGAGACGGATGCATGCATGGATGTGCAGAGGTATTTATGGAGAGACACAAAGATGCATGCATGGAGCTACTACATATTTACATAGTTTCTCATGAAAAAATCCTTCCAAAACAGTATTTCTAAAAAGTATTTTAACATTTAAAATGTCGACACAAATGTCTTAAACACAATTTTGGCAGCATGACCCTTAGAAAATATATAAATAATACAAATGAATAATATTATGAATATTTAATTAATATAAAAATGTTATTATAATTATTATTATTATTAGCATTATTAGTATTAATATTATAACAAAAACAAACAAAATAAATACATTTACATAAAACAACACAAATTAATAATAAGTCAACAAAATGTAATAATATTTATTATTATTAAAAAAATTATTTAAATAAAAATATATATTTTTAAACAATTTAAATAATAATACAACTATTTTGTAAGTATAAGTATTTGTGACACAACAGACAAAGAGTAGGGGTAGACAAAAGCTAGATAAACAGAAACCGATGAAGGTCATGAGAAAGTAGCACAAGTTGGAATGCCAACAGGTATGAAGCATTCTTCGTGCTTCCTCTTTTACAGTAAGGTCATGTGAAGGCACGATTCTGGAGGTGGGGACTTTACTGGCTTCCACTGAAGGATTACATCATTGCCATGCCCTATATATAGCAATTCTGCATACGGTTTATTCAAGTTTGTGTGGAAAAACTTCCTAAAAACACTGAAGACTGAATCACGTCTCTCTGATTTCGAATGAATCATGAAGGATGCTTCTTTTCTGGGGCATCTTGAGTGTCAGAAAACAAACAAACAAACAAAAAAAACATGCTACTGTAAGGCAGGGGTTCCAAAACTTGTATGCCAGCCGAAAAAATATGCTGATATTTTAATGATTTGAACATTTCCAGCTTTATGGATCTCTGATGTCGGTTAACGGTCACATGACCTACAAATAAGCAGATACAATATCTAATATTTAATCTAATAAGTGTTTAATTTTGTTTGCTTTTATTTTAAAATTAGGTATTGCCAGTGCAGGGTAGTAACTGATTACATGTAACCCAGATTTCACAATCAAATTCCAAAAATGAAGTACTTGTAATTAGATTACATTACTTTTTAAAATGCTTATAATTAATTTACAGTTACTTTTTAATGGATTACATGATTACATATTATGCAAACATTATTTTGACCTAAAATGTTAACGGTCACATGACCTACAAATAAGCAGATACAATATCTAATATTTAATCTAATAAGTGTTTAATTTTGTTTGCTTTTATTTTAAAATTAGGTATTGCTAGTGCAGGGTAGTGACCTAAAAGGTTTAATAAGTGTTTAATTCTGTTTGCTTTTATTTTAAAATTAGGTATTGCTAGTGCAGGGTAGTAACCTAAAAGGTTAATGGTCACATGACCTACAAATAAGCAGATAAAATGTTTTCTTTTAAGTTAATATTTAAATAATTTAACACATTCGTGTATATTCAACTTCTCTAATGTCAGTTAGTCTCGCGTAGCCAGACCTTCAGACTGACGGGTGAAGGTCTGGAATCCATGGCAGCTTTCATTGGCCAAGGCCCGCCCATGAAGCCGTTTGACCGACATGTCAAACAACCAATCACAGTTCATTTCGTTCGTCGTCACGTTTCGGGGCGTGGAAATGTCGCCACAATAACAGTGTGTAAAACTCTCGGACGTATTTTAAAGATTCTATGCCGCGAACTTTAAATATTTCACATACTTTTGAAAATCCAGCGTTTAGTTGATCCTGATAAGCGCTCGTCGTCACAGTTGTAAACACGACGGCTTTCTTCTTTCGTGAGGGTGTTTGGTGTCACGGCATCTTTGTTTCCAGGCAGAACGTTAAAGAACGCGACCACGCACGTCTACCGGAAACATGAAGTCGTTTGACCGACATGTCAAACAACCAATCACAGTTCATTTCGTTCGTCGTCACGTTTCGGGGCGTGGAAATGTCGCCACAATAACAGTGTGTAAAACTCTCGGACGTATTTTAAAGATTCTATGCCGCGAACTTTAAATATTTCACATACTTTTGAAAATCCAGCGTTTAGTTGATCCTGATAAGCGCTCGTCGTCACAGTTGTAAACACGACGGCTTTCTTCTTTCGTGAGGGTGTTTGGTGTCACGGCATCTTTGTTTCCAGGCAGAACGTTAAAGAACGCGACCACGCACGTCTACCGGAAATCCTGTAGAATTCAACCAATCCGACGACGACTTCGAAACTCCTGAAGTGTTTCCACTTTTGTGTGCCGTATGCATCAGACGTTTAGCCAACGGTCCGTGGGCGTGACGTCTGAGGCCGAGACTAAATGTCAGTTAATAATCACAATGACATGCAGGTAAACAAATAAAATATTTCTTTTTTTTTTGCTTTTATTTTAAACGTTTTTTTTTTTTTATGTTAACACGTTTATGATTTACTGAATTCGCTTTTCATCAACTACCCCCTGCAGTTTTTTAACAAATCCCAGACTGACCTTTAATTAACTTCAGAATACATTTTAGGATCTAAATTAGGATAAAATACATTTTATTTCTCTTTCTATTTTTATATCAACATGGTACAAAACATTCCTATTCAAAACTATGTGGTAAATACGTTTGGTCAAAAGTAATCAGAATACATTATCTAAAATGTGTAAACTGATAGATTAGTTTACTAACTACAATTTTTACATCAATAATGGACTACAATTTGTAAGTAATCTACCCAGCACTGTGTATACATAGCCTATATAGGGCTGCACGACTTGGACAAAAAATATTGCGCTTATTTTGTCATATGTTGGGATTGCGATTTGAACTGCGATATACTACTAATCTACAAAAATATTTGACTTTCCATGCACAATGTTGTGATTCACCAATCAGAAGCAAGTATTCCAGAGAGACTTGTAAGACAGCACATTTGAATATTAAATGATAACGATGATCTAATGAGGAGTAAGAACAACTTAACTTACTCAATAGGGAACCAAACTAAAATACTTGCCGGTTTCCAGGAAAAAAGGAAAGGAATAGGAAGCAAGGACAACCAGATGATCTGATTTCACATGACATCATGGAAATAAACAGAGGCGGCAGTGTTGCGAAAATCGTCCAATCAGATCATATTCTGGAATTCTTCTGTTTCCTGGTTACTAGGCAACCATTTGCCCATCTATCCTCATGTTGCTCAGTGTCACACAAATATCACAAATGATTCAAATGTACTAAATATAAATGCAGTAGACTAGACACATAACCTCTACAGACTGAATGTCAGCAGATCATTATCGCAAAATAAACGCACACAGGGTGATCAGGGACTTTTATTACCTTGAACCTGTGTACTCACTGCATTTGATGTGGTTTTTGCAGTACATTATTAATGCCCTGTCAACTACTACACAGAGCTAAAAAGGGGGCAAAATGACTTACCAGAGCATGATCAAAGCTGAAGGTGCTAATGTAATACGCTGATATATCACTGTCTGCAAGAGGCTGAGAGATCTGAGCGACTATCCCACATTCATCTGAAAAAAAAAAAAAAAACAAGACAGAGAGAGTGAGATAACGGCAAATAAGTGGGAGAGATGTGACTTTCTGATTTAATCTGATGTGTTTGTTCACTCATCTATCACTCAGCTGAACAGATTTCACTGTTGTATGGACTAGTGATTGGATAAGACAGAAAAACATTAAAGGAGCTATTTATATATACACAATACATATGCATCCTAACTGCAACAGAAGCTCATAAGTGACTGATTTTGAATGCTATACATAGTCAGCAGCTATGTGACAAACCAAAAAAAATGCTCCAAAATGTACATGGGAGACTCAAGTAAGCCAGGAATTCCCAAACTTTTTTTGTCAGCCGAACCTCTTTGAAGTAAACCATTTACTTGATGTCTCCCTTGAATCTCAAGTTATTATTTCAATAATTTAACAACACATTTGCATGTTCATGGTTCTCTAATGTTGGTTAACGGTCACATGGTAAGCATGTAAACAAATAAAACATTTAATCTTTTTTAGTAAGCGTTTTGTTATTTTCTTTGTGACTCTAAAAATAATAAAAGTACATAAACACACAAAAAAAATTGGTTATTCAATCATTTTATTTAAATGAAATGACCTTTTATTTAATATTAAAAATTATTTTAATTATTAGAATTAAATTATTAGAATAAGGACCAAATTACATTAATATGAATAATACATTAAATATAAGATAATATGAATATTTAAATACATAAAGCACTGAGTAACATTTATTAATTAGGGTTAAGATTAGGGTTTGGTTTATATTTGTAATTGTGCATAATTTACTGTTATTAACATGCAAGTACATGTAATCCTGTAACCTTAAAAGATCACATTTTTTATTGATACCTTGTAATGCTGAACGAATTGTAAGTATATTTATAATTTATTTTTTATATTCCTTTTTTTCTTTCACTGAGCTCGCTGCAATACATTCTGGCATTGCTAAATGATACAGGCTGCATTCAAATGACCAAAAGAAGGTATCTGATGGTGAATGAAGCTCACCGAAACCGAGAGGCTGCCCTCCTATTCTCACCATCCTCCAGAGCTCACCAGAAAGGAGAAGAACTTGATACATTCCATGTCCTGATCAACACTGGCGCCCTCTTTAGGACTGCAGGAGAAAACAAACACAATTGTTACAATTGAACATGCATAGGGAAATAACTGCACACCAAAAAAAACATTTTAATTGCAATTTATAAGAGACACTCTTAATTAGAATTAACAGTTTTACCTCTTATTTTTTCCTACCGAGTAAACAAATTGTATAAAAAAGCGACATAGTTCACCCCATTTTTCCCCTGCAGTGTAATGTGTGATAAACTGTGATCTGGTTCAAGACGCCTCTTAGTGGCAGCGAAATATTAAAACAGTATTGTTCAGCTAAGGGTGTTGCTGAAGAGGAAATACAAAAGTCAAAACAAAACTGAGATGCAGACAGCATCACTGCACGAGTTTGCAGCAACAGCAGCTTTCATACCTGTTAGAGTAAAACAGAACGTCTATGAGGGTGGTGGCGATCGCTGGCAGTGTGTCCGGATCCAAGCTCATTACGCAAAATTGATTTTCTGGAATCAGCACTGGATGAACTCTTGCATGTGGAACTGCACACACACACACACACACACACTCGCTTTAAAATGGGAAAAACAATACTATTACTTGGACTACTACTACTTGTTTCGTGCATGAGCTGGTATTGAATTTAATAGTGTCTCGATGCAAAACACTGGGAAAATAATCCATTATAACACACTACAAAGTGTTAATACAATCAGATAGCCTAGTAGTGTATTCATGTTATAATGGACTATTCTTAAAAAAAAAAAAAATTCATTATTTCGCATATTATGTATGACCTTTTCAAAAAGCCATTACATTAGTTGTGGGTCAGTATTTATTTTTTTTTTTTTAAGAATTAACACTTATTTAGCAAGGATACATTAAACTGATCAAAAGTGACATCTTATATTGTTGCAAAAAAATTCTGTTTCAAATAAATGCTGTTCATCTATGAACCTTCTATTCATTAAAGAATCCTGGAAAAAAATATCATGGCTTTCAACACTGATAATAATAATAATAAGTCAGATTTGATCACAGAAATAAATACATTTCAAAATATATTCATATAGAAAACGGCTATTTGAAATTGCAATAATACAACACAACATTGCTCTGTTTACTGTATTTTTATTAAATATATGCAGCCTTGGAGAGACTTCATACCGACCCCAAACATTTTTTGGTAGTGTATAGGCCTATGCCTTTCTTACACTGCGGTCTCACCCTCTCTGCCGTTTCGCTGAAGGCCATTGCAGGCGTCCTGACTGTGGACAGGCACTGACTCTCCTCCCTCCTCTCTGAAAATATTAAACTCCTCCAACAGAGTCTCCACCACCACCGACAGGTCCTTCTCTCGCACCTACAACACAAACATCCCATTTAGTATGTTAATAACATACAGTTTTATACAAATCACCTAACGGCACTCCATGAGGTGGTCATGTTTGTTCTGTACTTTACTTTTATTTGGTTACTGCATTTTTTATTTTTGTTAGCAGCACTTGTTGCCAAACAACAACACCACAAATGCAAATATATTAATCAAGCAGTTATGAATGTTTTTTGTTGTTGTTGTAGCACCCCGTGTGGGTGACTATTTGGTGTGGATTCCTTGCACAAAATTTTTGTAAAGTTCGGACTTTGCATTCAAGAAATATTATTCAATTAGTCAGTATTAGGCCACAGTTTCATTGCACACTTTAACCGGTTTAATTTTAAGTTATTTAATCAGATATTTTTACAAACAAAACTTCATGCAAATTGGACAAGCAGCCTAGAAAGACAAAATAAATAAATAAATAAAAGTACGTTTTTAAACAAGGATAAAATATAGATTCTGTCCCACACAGCTCTATAGGTATTAGCAAAACTGTAAATTAGCTTATTACAAAAGCATCACTGCCCTTGAAAATATAATGCACAAAGGCCAATCAACATTACACAACTTTCATTACACATCTACCAACTTATTAAAACAAAAGGGTCATGAAAATGTAAAACATTTACAACAGGCAGTTGTGTTTGATTTTAGCGCATGTTCATGCTGCTGTTTCCTTAATACTTTATTTATTAACACTGTTCTGTGTTTCTAGGTTCAGCCAAATGTCCGCCAGCTCCACATCTGTTTGTTGCTTTCTTTGCTTAATTAAACACAAAACTAGTTTTAACGAAAAAAAAAATTAATAAAAATAACATAATATTAAGAAAATAATACTGCTGCATTTATGTCATATCAGAATTACCATAAATATCAATTTCTCACAAAAAAAAAACCTGTTCATGTTTTCAACAAACTCATACATTTTATGAAAGCTCCAACTTCTCCCGCTTGACTATCATTATTCAGGATCTAATTACATCAAATATTATGGTTATTCATTACAGTGTTATTTTAGTATCAATGATATACTATCAAACTTTTCAATTAGATTTTTAATATTTTCCGTTTTCAGTTTTAGTTAAAGTTTAATAATTTTTTTGTTACATGATTTTGTCATTTTATTGTTTTTTGCATTATACTGCAGCTAACATTTATTTTAAGTCGTGGCATTTTTTCTTAGCTTTAGTTATCTATAGCAGCCCTAATTCACTGACACAATACTTCCAGCATTCAGGGTTGCCAGGTTTTCACAACAAAATCCGCCCAATTGCTACTCAAAACTAGCCCAAATCTAGCCCAATCGCATTTCGAGGGGGTCCCCCGGTAAAAATAACCTTCCAGGGGCTTAAATACACGTTCCTGGGGTCGCTTCAACCCCCGGCAACAGTGTTAAAGTAGCCCAATTCTGCGAGAAAACCGCCAGCATTCGCCGCAGTTTACACACATCCAAGTATTTCTAGAAATGTTGCTGAAGAAATGTAGCTTAAATTAGATATGTGTGAGTGTCAGTGATCACAGAAACACAGCAGACTCGCTTACCAGAATAAAGTCGGTTTGATAGGTGGAGAGCATGAAGACGGACACATGTTGCTCGGCCAATGGAGCGATAACAGATTTGGCGATCTTGGTGACGCCCACGGCTTGTGAGCTGCTGGAGGCGTTGCCATTGGAGACGACATTGAGCGGGAACCAAGTGGAGCCCTCCACCTGTAAGTGTTCAGACGGCTTGAGCTCTGGAGGAAGAGAATGTGATAGAGGACATACAGGAGACTGTATCAATATAATGTACCAGTTTTAAAACGGTTTCCTGTGTTCATTTCCTTAACATTTTAAAACATATTTGTAGAAAAAAACAAAAACATTTTTAGTAGAGAACGTCAACTGAGAAACTCATCCTGCACTGTTTGTTCTACAGACTTGAACTGCTTGTTGAGGAGAGGTGACCGTGAGCTATTGCTTTTCTAAGTGATCAAACTTGTGGTTTTTACCTGGTAGTTCATAATACCTTGCACTGAAAGAGGAGCTACCATTCAGTTTGAGTAAAAAAAGGATGTATTATTTTATCAAAACTGACAGTAGAGACATTTGTGACCCTGGACCACAAAACCAGTCATAAGGGTCAATTTTTAGAAATATGAATAAATAAGCTTTCCATTGATGTATGGTTTGTTAGGATTAGACAATATTTGGCTGAGATACAGCTATTGGAAAATCTGGAATCTGAAGGCGCAAAAAAATCTAAATATTGAGAAAATCGCCTTTAAAGGGGTCATATGATGTTGCTAAAAAGAACATTATTTTGTGTATTTGGTGTAATGAAATGTGTTTATGCGGTTTAAGGTTAAAAAAACATTCTTTTCCACATATTGTACATTATAATGCGTCGATTTTTACACAGCTCATCGTTCTGAAAAGCAAGGTGTGCTCTGATTGGCCAGCTATCTAGTGCGTTGTGATTGGCCGAATACTCTTACCATACGTCCCTTACCATATTGTGATGCCGTGTCCTGGCCGGAGCGATGAGACAAAAACATTAAAACCCATTATAAATGAGAAATTTGTTGCATCCAGTGGGTACATAATTACGGCTTATAATGACTTATACTGTCTTTTTACGCGTTGCGTTGCATCGTGCCGTGTAAACAAAACCATGTCTACATTTGTAACCGGAGACATGACAAACAACAAGCGCTACTCTATACTGCTCAAAACTCGCGTTTTCCGAATGAAGGTCTTAGCAATGCATATTACTAATCAAAAATAATGTTTTAATATATTTACAGTAGGAAATTTACAAAATATCTTCATGGAACATGATCTTTACTTAATATCCTAATGATT